TCTTACTCTTTTTTTCAGTCACTTCATCAGTGTCCTTCATTTCCACGTCACTACCAGCTTCATCAACATCGATGTCCGCTAAGACAGCATCCATAGCATTTTTCTGTAAAAAAAAAAAGGGAATTAGCATATGCAATTCTATTAATACCGACTTGGGCGCATAATAAGAATACGTACCATTGCGACTTCATTCTTAGTTGGGGCAGCTCCAGTAGCATAGAATTCCAATCTCTCCTCAACTTGTTGCTTAAGGGCATTGCCAAACTTGGTGGACGGGGTTTCAGAGAAGTTATCAATTCTTGATGCGATGGAACACTTGTTGGCCAAGAACCTGGAGATTCTGCCCTTGTTCTTGGGACCGGCGCGGCCTATGAAAGACGAATGGTATAGCAGTCCGTACTTGGGGGTATTTCCCTTAGTCTTTAAGGCTCTGAAAAGAGCCTTCTCCGCACCAAGAATCTGCACGGTTGAGGCCGGGTATTTGGAGAGGTTGGTCAAACTGCCCGCATGCGAAATCAACCGCGCCCCAACCACTTCGCCAATCAGGGCCGCCAAATTTGGTGCAACAACGCTCATCTTTGATACCAAATAGGCGTGCAAGTTTTTACGATACGTCGACAAACTCACAACGCGCTTAGCAAAGGCAAGTATATTCTCCATGTCTGTCGGTGAAATATCTTGTCCCATACTGTGCTTGGCTGCATCAATAACGCTCCTGGCGATACCCTCATCATCATCAACTATAGCAGCCAAATCGTGTAGCCTCTCCTCTGTTAAATCGTTCTTGTTCTGAACAAAAAGCGCGACACGGGCGTAGCGCTGGGTTATCGGATACGATTTTGATGAGTTCGGGGAAATGCCACGAGTACCATTCCCTGACTCTCATAGAGAATGTATTTATTGCTTTGTCCAGCTGGTCAAGAATTGCGATTGCTTGAATGATATGGTTGTCATCACGCTGAACTGAGAATTTGACCTTGGGCTCTTTGAATACGCGTGACCAAGACCAAGCTGCGCAGTATTCAGATCGCCTTCACGGAGTTGCTTAAGGAGTTTCCCAGCATGTAACCGAATTCCTCGTAGCATATCCTGGACAACATCGCTAGTGTCTCCAGTTTCACAGTCCACAAACGGGAAGGCCGCTTTAATGCTTCCAGCAAGTGCTTTATCGGACACACCCAGCACAACCTTCTTTTTCTTGTTCGGTTTCGGTAAGTTCAAGTCCAAGAACGAAACGAGTGTTTCAGAGGCAACACCTTCAGAAATGTCGTTAATCTCGCCAAGCGCCTGCTTGTTGTTTTTTAAGAAAATGTGAGTTAAACCTTCAAAAAAAAAAAAAAAAAAAAAAAAAAAAAAAACCAATTGAGATTGAAATACATACTCAAAAGGCAAGAAACTGGTCAATTCAACCATCTTCCCAAATTTCGCAAGGTCTTGTAGGTTGTCTTGCACCTCCTTCAACTTATTTCCCACAGTGTCGGCTTGGTGAACGACCTTGAATAGGGAGTAGCCTATTGGGCCCTCGAAGAGGAGAAAATCAGCCATCGCGCGGTGGTCAAATAAGTACAAATAGAAAGTATCTCCAATCCACACAGACGAAATAGCCCGATAGAGAGGGTGGCAGGCTGACGGGGCCGAATCGATGTAATCACGTTGATGTTGATTCTCGAGTGGTGATTTTTTTTAGTGTTGCTCCAATTTTTTTGGCCACAACCTCACTAGCGCGGAACCTCAATGTGGGATTTCCTAAGCTTCGTCTTTGGGTGACCAAGCGGGCAATTCTGCTGGTTTCCCAACATCACCAAATACATCACCACATCACTGTCTACTATTAATTGACTTCGAGGGGACACGATTCGGATAACTCCTAATTTCAGACACAATGTCTGCGACTCAGCTGCTAAATCCAAAAGCAGAATCACGAGTAATACTCCTAATATCCTGCTCCAGTGTGCTGTGGCTGATATCTTGTATAGCGGAGAGGGGAAGCTTTAAGGGTGAACATCAGCGCCGGCGAGGGCCTTCAAGATGTCCTGAAATCGAATCTTGGTCCATCAGGGACCATAAAAATGTACGTTATATTACCTTTGTTCTGTCGATAGTCTACTGACAAGCCGATATAGGTTGGTTGATGGGGCTGGTGCGGTACGAATACTCTCAGATTTACTTATCCATCCCGATGTTCCTGCGTGCTGATGGTCTGTGAAATAGATCAAACTTACAAAAGATGGGAATGTGCTTCTTCGAGAGATGGTTTGTACCTATTCCCTCCTGTTTACTGATTTATTTGCTAACTGACTCGCATAGCAAATTCAAAACCCTACAGCGGTAAGACGCCGCCACCGCGCTCCCCATTTATTCTATTGCTTATAATACATTTTATAGGTCATGATTGCGCGCGCGGCTACGGCGCAAGATGATATCACCGGAGATGGTACAACATCAGTAGTTCTCCTTGTCGGGGAGCTGCTCAAGCAAGCTGATCGACATCTATCTGAGGGCTTGCACCCGCGTGTGCTTACTGACGGGTACGAAATTGCTAAAACTGAAGCACTCAAGGTATGAATTTAATTCGCGCTCTTGTCCAATGCGAATTCTAACAGTTTTTTGTAGTTTCTTGACAAGTTCAAAATCCAGAGAGAAATCGACCGGGAACTGCTCCTCTCCGTTGCCCGAACCTCCCTCTCTACGAAATTGAATGGTGCCCTAGCCGAAAAATTGACTCCTTCTATTGTCGATGCGGTTCTTGCCATTCACCGGCCTCCTAACAAGCCTGATCTTCATATGATCGAGATCATGAAGATGCAACATCGAACCGCTTCCGATACCCAACTTATTCGAGGCCTTGCCTTGGACCACGGAGCGCGTCATCCGGATATGCCAAAACGGGTCGAGAATGCCTTTATTTTAACGTTGAATGTTAGTCTGGAGTATGAAAAGTCGGAAATTAACTCTGGTTTCTACTACTCCACCGCGGAACAGAGAGATAAACTGGTTGAAAGCGAGAGGAAGTTCGTGGACTCGAAGCTGCGGAAGATTGTCGAGCTGAAGAAGCAAGTTTGCGGTGATGATCCAAAAAAAGGCTTTGTCGTTATTAACCAGAAGGGTATCGATCCTTTGAGCTTGGATGTGCTTGTCAAGAACGGAATACTTGCCCTGCGCAGAGCAAAGCGTCGAAATATGGAACGGTTGCAACTGGTGTGTGGTGGCACTGCACAAAACAGCGTTGACGGCCTTAAACCAGAAGATCTCGGGTGGGCGGGTCTCGTGTATGAACATCAACTAGGCGAGGAAAAATTCACATTTATTGAAGATGTCAAAGATCCGAAATCGGTTACCATCCTCATCAAGGGTCCCAACCAACATACGATCACGCAGATCACTGAAGCTGTGAGAGATGGTCTTCGCTCTGTATATAATACTATAGTCGATGGCTGTGTTGTTCCCGGAGCCGGTGCATTCCAGGTTGCCTGCGCTGCGCATCTTTCGTCCGAAGCGTTCAGGAAAACTGTCAAGGGAAAAGCCAAATGGGGCGTTAGTGCCTTCGCCGACGCCCTGCTCATTATCCCCAAAACTCTCGCCGCGAACTCTGGCCACGATATTCAAGATTCACTTGCGGCGCTGCAAGACGAACAGAGTGAAGGAAGTGCTGTCGGACTTGACCTCACAACAGGAGAACCGATGGACCCCGTCCAGGAGGGTGTATTTGATTCCTTCAGAGTTCTCAGGAATTGTGTCGCCTCAAGTGCCGGTATTGCGTCGAATCTCCTGCTCTGCGACGAACTTCTTAAGGCAAGACAGATGGGGAGGTCGGGCGGTCCAGCAGGAATGGATGAATGATTTAGGCAAATAAAACATACCGGAAATAGATGCGTGATAAATAGCTGTATTTGAATAGATACTCACCAGCTATCGACATAGGCGTACCTTAAATCTTGACAAAAATAATGCAATGAACGAACAAGTTGCCAGTCATGCTTACAATTTGTTGGAGCTTCAAAAATGAAAGGAATTCCCGTGTTTACTATCATCGTGCATTTTCCTCTTCTTTATACTAGATCATGCTTACGTTCGTGTAGCAGAGAAGCTACTGAAGGATGGATAAAAGCTCATAAATTGAGGTTTATCAAAAACCGGGTATCTTCCATAAACTTCATAAAGTTTCCTATGCCAACTCCCAATGAAACCACCAGATACATAATAACGCCTTTCTATTCCCACCATATCATGCATGACATGCCTCATCGCATCAATCTCCACTATCCGTCTCCTCGTCTTCCTGGTCTTCGTCCTCAGGCGCCCATTCGCCCAAAAACCCTTCTTCCGCAACGGGATCCTTCAAGTCAACTCGATGAATCTTAGCCCACTCCAAGACACTTTGTTTCCTCACTACCGCTTCAGCAGCATCGCTATCTACCACCCCAGTTGCTGTCGTCGTAGTTGCCGTCGACGACAAGGAAGCTCTTTTACGCTTCTTTCCCGGCTTTTCCGTCTCCACGATCCCCATCTCTTTGAGTGCCGTAATGACGTCCTCAACCAGCATTCCTGTTGCCTGGCCGATTTCGCGAATCGTCATCTCCTCGCGGGCAACTTTCCTCTTCGCACCCTTTGAGCCACCACCCATCGGCCTTGGCGACCACGACGATGATGTGGATGCAGATGCAATATTGCGGCCATAAGGCTCAGCACCAGGCGGACCCAGAAGGAAAAACCTCGAGATCCTCTCCTCCCAAAATCTTACGTAGCTCCTCCGTCCCATCTCACTAAGTGGTCGTTCTGGGCCGCCAATGGTTCCTCCCTCTCCCACTCCCACGCACTCCATCTCATGCCTTATAGTTGGTCTTACCCCCATCAGCAGCT